ATGTCCAGGATCCCTTGACTGAAGCCCATCCTAACGCTGAATGAAAGAACATCTGACCGACAAAGTGGGCCGTATCACGCATTATTTTATTACTCACTCATTGCCCAACATATTTTTTCTTTACATTTAGCATCCTACAGCGCCCCGAGGAAGAGAGAGCGGGAGGTTAGCCCCCCAGCGCAATTAAAAATAAGCAGAGGCAGAGAGAAACTGCCAGCCCTAAACGAGGCTACAGGGAATCCCTTCAAGCTAGTCACTTGATGGATCATCAGCGCTCTTCTAATTAACAAACGGAGAGCTGTGTGGTCCAGTTTCTAGAACACATTTGCATTATCAGTTCAGACAAATCCTCCCCGTTAACATTTCTGTTGTTTTTCTTCTCCACTGTCCATCGGTAAGAAATGTACAGATGCAGCCACTAGCCTGAAGGATTTAACCTTCATCTTGCAGCAAAGGCAGACTGATGAAACAGTGTTGACAGAGTCTGACCTGCAGTCATGCTTTCCTTTTTACTTTATTTCGTGTTTTTGGTTTAGACTTGGGCTGGAATACCAAGTGAGTTTTAACCACATAATGGCACTGTATTTGGGTGGCTTTACACCTCTCTTCCAGCTTTCATTACAAATAAAACTCACTGTAAAGTATAAATCTTGAGTAGTTGGATTTCATTGCAAAGCCACAGAACTGTACCATGACTGCTCCATACACTGCATGCACTCCATAACGCAGTTTTGTCATTTAGTACCTAAACTTCATCTCTTAAACAGCACCCGGACAACCAGGACAGTGTGTTTTATATTTAACTACAAATATCATGACATATTTAACTTTGCCAACCTTGACATGGAAAGTTTCATGTCTTTCGTTTGCTTTTGACAGGCTTACTAGAAATACAAGTTTGCAACGCATTTACAAAAAGAAAAATACATGAGAACAAACAGTAACTCTTTATATAATAGCTGCAAACACCTGATGAATTCTCCCTGTATGTCACAGGCCAAACTCCCGAATATCAAAGGAGTTACACCTGCTTTCTGAGGCACTCCCTCTGATATCTGAAGACATTCTGACAACACATGACAATGTACTGTAGTTCAAGCAGGGAGCTGCGCCAGCACGCGTAGGCCGCAAAGGAACAAGTACAGGTTTACTCCACTTTTTTTAAAAGAAGGTGCGTCTGATGTTAAGATAAACATGGACTACCAAAATGTGCAGATGATTACATGTTAACAGCCTAAAGCCTCTATGCTGTATATTTTGTGAGGTTCCAATCTTTATTTTAAAGAAACAAAAAGGTTATTTGCACCCCAGAGCACCTGCATAGAAACAGCAGATCTCCTCAGTGAGAGTTCTGGATTCCTGCAGACGTCTGGAGCTTCAGCGCTGAAGCAGTTAAGGAGCCCCAGCCTTTATCAGGCTGTTTTAATGAGGTGGGACTGCGTGACCTGGTGGTCCATCATAACCTGAGGCCAAACAGCAATGTCAGACAAGTGGAGATCTTATCCCACTCCCCGGCCTCTCCTGCCAGCGAGCTTCATTATCATTTCACACAGGACCACGTGCAGTGAACTGGCAGCTTCTAAAATCACCATCATATTTAATAACATCTTTGCAAGGGCCACAGAAATAAGATTTCATTTTGAATTCTCTTGATTGGCGAGCTGTGCACCGTTTGACAAATGTTCACTTTTTTTTCCCCCGTCTTTAGCTATCATCAGCCATGCTTCACACCTAGAAGAATGCATGTTTATTCCCATTGAAAAATGTGGCTACTGTTACAAAATCATCAAATATCACTGGCCATGATTTTTCTCTAACATTTCATTGCATTCTGCAGAATCAAGTTGCTTCTTGACTGACAAAGCCTAACACAATAAGACCTAAAAGATATACATTAAAGAACTTAGCATTCATGAAGGTTGCACATGTTGCGATTATCTGTTCCTGAATCTAAGATGGCATACCAGCTCGGAGACACTGAGATGCCCTTACCACAGAACAAAAAGAGAAACATTAGTCTTTTAGACAACCTTTCATTGTATACCTACACTTACAGTGAGAACCCAGAATGGGAAGGTTTAATAAAGCCTATCTCAAAATGACCAAAAGCATCAGAGGTAATCCTTTTTCTAACTGTTTTTGTGAACCTCTGTTGCCTGCTGTGCACATTTGCAGGTTACTGTAACTTGCAGCAACATCGTCATTGAAGTATTAAGGCACAGCGAGCAGAGGGAACCATACTGGGGGTAGACAGAGATGTTTCACTGACAGCCTGACACACTGTTATTATTAAGGGTTATGTACACAACACAGTACCCGATAAACACTCTTAAAATAAAAATGAAATAGTAAAAGGCTCCAAGATTAAGGAGAGGTCTTGGAGCTGGTCCACTAAATGTCTCCAATTCACAACCACCAGAAGTGCTCCCACCACGTAAATATTAGTCTTACTCTAAAGATTGCTTGCTTACAGTGTTTTTATTGGCTCGTTCTTTCTGGCCTCATTCTTTGTCCATTTGTATCAGTCTGAACTCACGCAGACCTCACAGGTGTCAGTCCCGGTGGGATTCAAGGTGAACTTGATGTCATCCACAAACTTCATGACAGGAGTTGTGTGTGTACCAATTATACAGTCATTGCCAGCTGAAACGAGGTTGGAGAAGCAAAGACAGAATATACCAATTACTTTACGCTATTGTGTTCACAGTCCCTGCAAGGTATGAAAATCTACTAACAACAGGAAAAAAAACAGTCGAGACGTATCAAATGAAATGAATGAAAAAAGTGAAATGGTGATTGACAATGACCTTCTTTCACATCATTAAGCTTTGGAAGAGAGTCCTTAACTCTGGCTGTTTTCACAATACAGCTTGGGGTATTGCAACAGGCTCTTCGGAATAACTGAGCATTAAGGTCAGTCTCAGGGGGCTGCTCTTGCCTTGACAAGCCTCTGCACTCATCTGTGTGAAGTGATGCTTATAGACAACAGTATCTTGGGCAACGCTAGAAGTTGTTACTCAACGGCACAATTGTGGGAAGGGTTATCTCACAAAACGCCTGATACAAAGAGCTCCCTAACTGTCAGAGGCTGCATCAAGGAACACGTTTCTTCATACTCTATTTTGAAATGCTTTAATGCTTTCACCCTTTTAAATCTGTCAGATCGAAGCCCAAAAAAACTGAAAAATAAACATTTTCGGAGGTTGAGTTTAACATGAAGTTCCCACTGATCTACGGCGTAGAGGGTCAATCTGAAGGTCACGGTCAGGAGCTCTACTGCAGGGAGACCGGCCGGCTGCTTCACCTTACAGCTGCTGACTGGCCGGAGAGCAGACTGCAAGCTTGCAAGAAGCTGAGAGGAGTGGTCACCTCTTCCGCCACAGCTCCCCCTACTGCTGGAGGGAAGGCAGGACACCGGAAGAACCCTGTTTCCTTTATATGATGAACAGCGCCGTGAATGGCTTTGGACCATACCCTTAGATCATGAAAGGCTGCTGGACAGAGACAAACATTCCTCAGCGTGGAACTGGCAGTACGTTAGGCATTGAACGAGCAGAAATCCTGGAAGTTCAATTATTCCAAACGAACAAACTGAGCACCGCAACAGTGAGATAAAAAAGGCTTTAGATTGTAATGCAAAGCATTAGCACAAAATCCAAGATTTGATTTCCTTCCCACGTTTTAATCCTAGATTTATAAATTGAATCATATCCTGCCTTGTGAGCATTTTTCTGCATCCTTACACATTATGGGAGAATGGAGGCACGGGATGGAAAATGTAGTTGCCAAAATCATAGAACGCCGTTCTTACTTTGTACAAGCACGTTTGACTTTTTTCTGGGACAGTCCTCGCCTGCCCAGGTCTTTATCTGCGCCACCAGAAGAGATTAAACATTTTTACAAGGAAAGTTAAAAGTCCTGTTGGAGGAACAATTGGACACTTCAGAAATACAACCGCGGAAATGAAGTATTCCCGAATCCTATACATCCAACAGCATAGAACACCCTACTTCAATATGTAAAAAGAGAACAACAGCGCATGATGAGCAATGCAATGGCCTGTTTTGATCTTTAATTTCATCGGCATTGTCCCATACCGTGCACGATGTTTGTTTTTTCTGAACTGGAAACGTACACACTAACATTAACTTGCTGGACGTTAACGCGAAATGAGATGCGAAATCTGACCAGAGTGCAGACTGCAAGCTTGCAAGAGGCTGAGAGGGGTGGTCACCAGCTGGAGATACCACAGCTGATTGTGCAAGGATGGGTGTTAATTTACCTTTTCGTGAGAAGGAAAAAATCAAGGGCTTTTATTCATTCTATTTATTAATATTGTAAGTTACGGCTGAATTCACATAAAGGCAATCCAAAAGCTTAGCTGTACTTCAGGCGACACCTTTACATACTCCTGGGACGGTCGCACTCGAACAGCCCCCCCAAGATCGAGCTGAAATACTGCAGCGGCTGCGTCGGACACGGGTGCGACTCAGCGAGTGAACACCCACCCACCCCCACCCCCCCGGCCAGGGCTCCGAGCACGAGCACGCACACGAGCGCGCTCACGACGTGCACGGCGGCGAGAAGGTATTTCGACCTGGGAGGCTCGGGAATCGCGGTGACCTTTCTGACAAAGGCCGCGCTCCCCTGTTAGACATTGTGGTGGATTGTTTGCTACTGCTGTTTTAGCGATCAGCTGATTCCGACCTGGTCCTCCCGCCCCTAGCGGGTTTCGTTTTGTTTTTCTTTGGGGGTGTTAGGGTTTTTTTTTCCCCCACATTATTTCTGAGTAGAATCAAATTAAACTCCTTCGCAAATCGTGACTGCGACCGATCTGTCTACTGCGGTGTCTGTTCTTCCCCATTATCCCCGACCACACCGCAGGCGGAAACTCCTTCCTCGTTTGTGATTGAATCTAGCAACCAATCAGAAACGGAAGGAGGCGTGACGTCACTCGTACGCGCTCTCCCCATGCAGCGCGCACGCCCACATTACAGCGCCTCCTATCGACACGGACGAGCAACTGCTGTCCTTTTCGTGCTTATACCGTACCTACTTCGCTAATCGTAATGGACATTTCTATTTTATCCACTTCTAAACTTCCTCATTACAGTTTTCGTTTTGGATAGGTCTGGTGTACAGCTTACTATATTTTTCTAAGATATACAGATCAGTTGAAAAATATGAAACGAATGCAAATTTTTAAAAAGTTTTTAAAAAAGTTTCCCTATCAAGAAAGCAGGAGTTATTAAGCAGTAAATTAATTTCAAAAGCCATAAGCATCAGATTATGAGCAGTACCGTTCAGAGCGCCACTCTAACATAAAGCTATCCAAACACATTATCGCACTAACGGGAGGTTCATAAGCGCAGGTCGTTGAAAGGCGAGATAAGTCACCCAGGCCGCCTGGCCCAGTTTATCGCCTGTGTTCAGGGGGTATAGGGCGGAGTTTGGAGAGACATCGTCAGAACAGGCGTGCAGGAAAAAGCGCTGGGCGCTGGGGTTCATATGCTTCGCAACTGTTGGCGTGAGTATTATAAGAAAAAAAAAACGTATAAAAGTATTTTCTTTTCCCTCGGGTACACAGTTAGCTTTTTACTTGGCGTGTGCCTTTGTCCTGAAGTCAGTTTGCGACTCACCTGTGAAGAAGCGCCTGGCGGCAGCGTCCTGTGTCGGTTTTCTGTTACAAAGAGTCACATGTTGCCTTCGGTCTGGCTGGGCTGGGGTCTGCTCTACCTCTGCTGCGAGGGAGATCGGAGACGGCAGTTGTGTGGGGGAAAAGGAGAGCATGTATCATTCATTCATTCAGTATAAATCCTGCTTGATTTCGAGTATAACTCAGTTTTAGCTGCGTGGAAGTCGGATGGGCGGCGAACGGCAGAGCTCAAATAGAGGAGACCGATACACTAATCTCTTTAGAACAAGAAAACGAATTGTCACAAGATTGCATCGGCTCCCACATGTCTTCGGGGATGTCAGAATTGATGCAGGGACGGATTAACCTGGCGTCAATTGCACTTTTACATGGTGACAGTTCGGTTTAATATAGCAGCTCTTCGGCCTGTAGGTGCTGTATCGCCCAAATTAGGTTTGACAGAATCGCAGCGTTACTGGGGGGTGTCGACAGTTCTTGAACCATTTAGACTGAGTATTTGCGTTTTAGCAGCTCCCAGAGTTGCCATTCTTAGTACTGGGACGTTTGAATATGTTTGTTGTTTGTCGGCAGTTTGTTTCCGGTATTATTTTTGTATACAGCCAAGCTTTAGACATACCGTACGAGTTTCACTAGCGCGAAACTATTTGTCCTTGGTGAATTCGTACTTCACAAACAGCTCGAAAACATCAATGAGAGCGTTTACGGTGTCTCACATTTATCGTTGTGCGCGGAACAAATGCTTTTTTATGTGCAGTCGTAGTGCTGTGTGAACTAGATTCTTACAGTGCTTTAAATTGGAAAGCTCAAGTACATAATAAGAGTTTTGTTTTCCTACTCTTAAAGAACCACAGCCAAGTAAGTTTCCAGTAAAAACTTGCTCGCAGTCCCCGCCGAACCTGCTGCAGACTACACAGAAAATGTGCATGATCATGATGACAGAAGTCTAGTCTGTGCACTAACTGGAAAATTGAGTCATTCAAGATTTCAAGATTTTTTTTATCCAATGGCAAAACTAAACTCCTATCGGGCCACACGAGCGACAGAATTCATTAAGCTTATGTAAGGGAGTATCCGTCTTTAAAATCTGGTCCTGTTCCTGGAAAATGTTTTTCGGATTCTAAAATAAGTCGAATGGGTACTAGAAATTTCCTTTAAGGAGTCAATAATATGTTTGGAAGAAGGAGGAAAGCCTCTCTAATTCTGTAATTATTAGTTTAAAAGGCAGCACAACAATAGGTAGTTATGCTTTCAGACTAAACATGCCAGCGCAAAAAAAAGATAAGTTTTGTGGTAGAGATGAGGAGCAGTCTTGACAACAGGAATTATGGGACAGTGTTTACTGTGCTGGAGAGTCTTCTGTGGATACAAGCCCCAGCAGATAAGGGCTAAAGATTTTCCTGCCAAGTCTCCAGTACTTCACTGGGTAAAAGAAGCTCTTTAAGATAGAATACAGGCAGCACATCCTTTGCTTCACTCTAGCTGAAAGTTTTATTGTTTTATTTGGAGCCTGAATGTTTTATCTGAAGTTTGTAGATATTTGCCTGGACTTAATTCCAATTAAGCTATTTCCACTCGAGCCTAACTTTGTTTTTCTGACCCTTAGTAACATGCATAGCGAGATGTACTTTACATTCACTACATACAGGAATATTAAGCTTTCAACAGCCTTAAAGAAACAGAAACTAAGATAGACAAATCATTCTTCATTCCCAGAAGTGAAGGCTGGAGTCTGTGTCCAGAGACTGCAAACTTGGCTTGTCCTTTAAGAAATGAGTTGGATCAGAATCCATCTGCCTGGGCTTGCATATCCATCACACAGATTCCATTAGACTGAGACTCGCATCTGGAAACTTTTATTGACTGTCTTGTTCAGTGCATTTTGAAACACAGTACCTGGTCCACCACACCAGGCTAGAAAACTAAAAGTAATTTTGTGTTAGATGAAGCACCTATATAAAAGCTTTGCCAGACTAAATGATTGACATTCAGATATCTCAGTTTGGACAAGAAGAACACCTCACTGATATTTCTTAACAGCACTCTGTTTGACCCAACGTTAACTTCACAATGTATTGTAGTGCATGGGTGTTTGTATTCTTTCATGCATTTTATCCACTGACTATAAGAATTTAGGTCAGTATTTGTCAAAATCTTTCTCCTTTAAAATATTTTTCAACCAATATCAGACTTATTTTTTCATAATGACTTATGTTAATACATAATAAAATTCGCATTTACACTTGAAAGTCAATATAATGCATAGTGGTTCTTTAGTCTCCCCTATAACAAAGGGTAATCAAATCTAATGGTATTATTCCACCATCTGAAAGAGGTGCTCTCTCATGATCATTGCAGATATGTAAAAAAAAAAAAGAATAGGAAACATGTTTGTACATAAAGAGTTGTGGAGGGTGGAACAAGTTTCCCAGCTATGTTTGGAAACCTGACACCCAGGCATCCAGTGAGAAATGGCTGGAAGACATCCTTGGATCAGTTAGCTAACACCACATGAGATACAGTAGGTGGGTAGAACAGCCCACTCTTGTTTCTAGCCTTCCTTATGTTTCTTAGACCTCTGATGGGCTCCCACAGCCTCACCTGTGACCTGAGCCGAGCTGCCGGCTCTGCCCTGGGTTTGCAGTGTGGGGTTCAGACTGTCAGACAGGCAGGCCTCTGAAAGAGGAGGGGCTCAAACGTTGGGTGGGTTAACCTAACCTCCGGGCTAGAGGCCTTCCGTGTGACATTGAAGAGATCAGCTTACAGTGCCTGACCTCTGCTGCACAGATCACCTTCCCATGATGAAATTTGCAGGATGGGAAGCGGGGGGAGTGATCGGTTTCAGGCACTCGGACGTCCTTGGGGAAAAAGTAGGACAATTACAACACTCCCGGGCCTGGAAAACATTGGGAAAGCTGTGATGTCCACGATTCTGTTGAGAGAGGGATGGATGTGTATAGCTGTGTATAGCTGTGTATAGCTGTGTATAGCTGTGTATAGCTGTGTATAGCTGTGTATAGCTGTGTATAGCTGTGTGCGCTGTGTGTGCTGTGTGTCATTAAAAATCCCAGGGCGTTTCTCGAAAAGAGTAGGGGTGTAACCCCGGCGTCCTGGCCAAATTTCCCATTGGCCCTTACCA